AACTACTAAAACCCACAACAGAAAAAACTAAAAAAAACATGTTACAAGTTTACAACAGGTAAAAAAACACCACTAGAAACCATGACACATAAAATAGTACATTTTTTTTTTTCAAGGATTCAAAGCCCCTAAAAACACTACTAAACAAATCACAAGAATACTAATAATGCACCATCACACCAGGGTTTTTACACAACAAACCATCCCAATCTGTACAAAAGAAAATCTACCCCCTCACAATCACTTTTAGAAAAAACCTTCACCAGCAAGAACACTTAGCAGCACACAAACACGAGCAAACGGTGCACCTGCAAGACCATTTCTTGCACCAGCAAGTGCAGCTCGGGCAATTGGGCTTGAAACAGCAAGTGGGCCACTTGGGCTTTCGCCACTTGGGCCAGCATTTGGGCCAGCAGCAGCAGCAGCTCTTAATGCTGCAACTAAGGTTCGGGCATTTAGGGAGTTTAGGACATTTAATTTTACAGCACCTGTTTGAGGTTTTTGTCTTTTTATGAAGTCGAATTTTTCCGAGCCTGACTTGTGTTGTGATGTTCTCCATCTCTTGAATGAACTTGCACAAATGGCGGATATAATCTGGGTAGAGCTCGAGATTGCAATGGCCTCCTCCTTTTATCCATAAGGGCTCGTATGGCTCTCGAGCCATTTCCCATAATCCATTCCCGTGCAACCAACTCACGACATCATCCTCGGTACCCTGCAAAATTATTACGCCAATTTTTTGGCATACGAAATAAATAAATAAATGTAATTCACAAGTTTTTTTTTTTTTTTCACAAGTTTTTTTTTTTTTTTCAAATAGTAATATGAACTCCATGGATTTTATTAGTTGGTGCCAGCTCAATTGAAATAAGAATCTTGTATTTTCATGATACATAGCAAATTAGCCTTTGTAGGTATTTGAAATAAGATTTTAGTAAAGGGGCTTTGCACCTTATTATCAAATATTTGAACTATTGGTCAGGAGTTTATGCACTTTTTGGATAGCATCAGTTTTGCCTCCATTCAAGAGTTGTATGCAGCTAAGTATTCGTAAGATTCAACTCATGCAATCATAAAAGT